GCTGAACAAGGGCGAGGCGCACCACGCGTTGAAAAACGCCCTGCGCATTGGCAGGCAAGGTGAAATCCGAGACCGTACTGCTGAAGCCCAGCATTACCGCATGGCTGGGCTGAACTTACTGGCAGCGATCATCATCTATTGGAACACAAAGCACCTGGGCCATGCTGTCTCTCAAAGGCGGAACGCCGGATTGGACTGCCCACCAGATCTTCTTGCCCATATCTCACCCCTCGGATGGGCACATATCTTGCTCACAGGCGAGTATCGGTGGCGAAACTAACCCAATCTGTCCTTAGCGTAGGATTCTGCCCCCTCCGGCAATCGACCCCTGGAAAGTCTCAGTCGTCGCCATGAGCGGCATGACATTCGAAGTGGACACGCCGCATGGTCGCATGATGGCTACTATGCTTGCGGGCATCGCCCAATTCGAACGTGACCTCCTCAGCGAACGCGTCAAATCCGGGCTGGCCGCAGCCCGCGCACGTGGCAAGAAACTCGGCCGCCAACCCGGCCAACGACCAAAATCCGACAAACTGGCTCCCAAAGTCATTCAGGCGGTCGCAGAAGGCCGCTCCTACCGGTGGATCGCCCGAGACCTTGGCATCTCAAAAAATACTGTCACCGAAATTATCAAACGGCACAGGCAAACTGCATGATACGTCTGAGACGAGCTATTCTTTTAAGTGGGATGTTAGTCTTGGCAATGCTTCTCGCAGCCTGCGCTTTCTACAAAACCACTGCGTGTCCTTACGCCCAATACCTTTGGCCTGAACTGCGTCACAGACAGCCTTTGCGTTGAGGATATGTCCACTGTCGCCGACGCAACTCGACTAATGGACGACGCGTTGAGCTTCGTAGTTGCCAATGTTGGCCCGATTGATCAGCCACCACGTGTTCTGTTCTGTAGCTCGGAAGACTGCTTTGCCCGTTTCGGAAATCCCGCCGTGGCAGCACTGTATTTCTGGGGCCTCGATACCTTGCTCATCAACGACAAGGGCTGGCAGGACTACATCCTACGTCACGAGATGATCCATCACTGGCAGGTCGAACAGTTCGGTGCTGTACAGGTCAGCCGATTGCCTCGTTGGTATATCGAAGGCATGGCCTATTCTATAAGCCAAGATCCGAGAGACCCGCTGCCCCGGGACGATATTCAAGCTTGGCGAGCTCAGTTCAACACATGGGTAGAGGACGGCAACGAATGGCGGCAACCACCTCTATGAGACACCTAAAATTCGCTTGTGATACGATCCTGCCCCCTACCGGAATCTACCCCACGGTTGATCCTTCGACCTAGGTGATGCCCGCCGTGTGACCACTATCTCGAGTAAGTTTGTTCTGGCCCTGTGTAATTTCAGGGCCAGAATTTATTGCATATCGTTGCTGAAAGTTCTCTAGGTCTTGACTTATTCGTTAGCTGAAGCAGACCGACTGGAAGTCGGTGGCTTAGATCCAGAGAATGGAAAGTAAAGTGCGGGACGAACCACGAACTCACATTCGGTATGATCCGGGCGTCCTGTTGGTCCATTTGCGAAATGCACGATGAAAATTTGCAGGGGCCGAAAACCCAGTGTCAAAAGCGATCTGTTCGATGCTGGATGTGTCGTTCTGAAGAGCGCGGATCGCGATATCACGGCGCAAGGCGTCTTTGATCTCCTGAAAAGATGCGCCCTCCTCTTTTAATCGTCGGTTTAGCGTCCGCGGTGCCATCTTTAGGGCCTTGGCTGCATCCGTAAGTTGACAGTCTTCCCATGTCGCCCCGTACAGAAAGGCCCTAACTTTTAGGCTGTTGGTATGGGCGCGCGATCCCGTGAAGATCCAGCCGAATGGCGCGCGTTCCAAAAAAAACGGATGCCTCTGCAGCGCTGTGACGGAGCGGGCGCGGGAACAGCTCTGGATCGAAAATTATACTTGTGTGTTGTGCATCAAATGCGACCGAACATGGAAAAACAACTTCGTAATCTGCGGCAAAATCTGGCCGAGGAAACGAAAAATGAACCGCCATCACCGGCGTTTCTGACCCGCTAAGCCATGACAGTAGACCATGCGCCAATTTCAAAATTAACATATGGCCAAACCGCTGCGGATGGTTAACATCCGAATATGGAACCAAGGCAAGTTCGATTCCGGGCGCTGCGTCATTGAGCTCTAGCCGGAAGTCATCCAACAAAAGGTTCCAAAACGTCGAGAACCGATACAGTGCTGAGGTCAGGCTACCTGCCTCTTGCAGAACCGTAACAAGATGCTGGAGTGCGCGGGGCCGGATTGGCCGGCTCCAAAGGCCCATCATCTCGTCTTGGGTTTCAATTGCAGCAAGTTGATAGAGTTTCGCAAATTCATCGAGTGTGACGCGTTGGGCTGCAACCCTTGATCCTGATGGCAATCCCGCCCGTTCCAGCAAAGACGACAGCTCCTGAGCCGAACAGCACTGCTCTAACGCATAAAGCCAATCTTGAATAAATCCGGCTGAAACGGTGGTCAGCGAAATCGGGTCATTGCTAGACATAGAAACCTCTATTTGGCGTAATCTGATATGATATTGTCAAATTATGAGCTTATCGGCAAGTAAAGCGACAAGTTAATGACGTAAAGCCATAGTATCAGGTGGAGTCTGACATGTCCTATCAACCGCCCGTTCAGGACATGATGTTTTGCATTGAACACCTGTCCCACAGAGAACAAGTCTCTGCATTGGGGACGTATTCAGACTATGACCTGACTGATATCGGTGCCGCATTAGAGGCGTACGCGCGGTTTTGCAGTGAGCAGATTGCACCGCTGTCTCATATCGGGGACACGCTTGGGGCACAGTTCATCGGCGGCCGCGTAACGATGCCTGAAGGGGACCGCCACGCCTATGCGCAATTTGTCGAACAGGGATGGCAGGCATTGACGCACCCGCCCGAGCATGGCGGTATGGGATTGCCGCGTTCCGTGGGTGCGGCGGCAGTTGAGATGCTGAATGCGGCCGACATGAGCTTTGGTCTTTGTCCTTTGCTGACAGATGGCGCGATTGAGGCGCTGCTGCTGACTGGCTCGGATGAACAAAAAGCCACTTATCTGGAACCGCTGATTGCAGGGCGCTGGTCCGGCACGATGAATCTGACGGAACCGCAGGCTGGCAGTGATCTGGGTCGAGTGGCGACCAAAGCGGTACTGCGAGACGATGGCAGTTATGGTATCTCTGGGACGAAAATCTTCATCACCTACGGTGCCCATGACCTGACCGATAATATCATCCACCTTGTGCTGGCGCGCACGCCTGATGCGCCTGCTGGACCAAAGGGGCTAAGCCTGTTCATCGTACCGCAAACGATGGTGGAACCGGATGGCACATTGGGTGCTGCTAATACTGTGGACTGCGTCAGCATCGAACATAAGTTGGGTGTGAGGGCCAGCCCGACAGCTGTGCTGGAATACGATGATGCCACCGGGTTCCTGATCGGCGAAGAGAACTGCGGGCTGGAATACATGTTCATCATGATGAACGCTGCGCGGTTCTCGGTTGGTGTGCAAGGCATTGCGATATCCGATCGCGCCTATCAACGCGCCCTTTCTTACGCACGTGACCGCGTGCAAAGCCGCCCTGTAAATGGCCAAAGCAAGGACGCCGTTGCAATCATCGAACATCCTGACGTACGCCGCATGCTGATGCGGATGCGCAGCCTGACCGAAGGCGGGCGGGCGATGGTGGCGGCTACAGCGGGTCTGTTGGATGTCGTACATCATCAAGACAATCCAGAGGTGGCCGCATTGGCCGAGTTCATGGTCCCGCTGGTCAAAGGTTTCTGCACCGAACGCGCTGTTGAAGTCGCGTCGCTTGGTGTGCAAATTCATGGCGGCATAGGCTTTATAGAAGAAACTGGGGCCGCACAGCACTATCGGGACGCTCGCATTCTGCCGATCTATGAGGGCACAACCGCTATTCAAGCAAATGATCTATTGGGGCGTAAAATCATGCGTGATGATGGCGAAACCGCCCATCTGTTGCATCCCGAATTGCGCAAACCGAAAACGAACTGGCCGCAGGTAACGCCTCATTGCAACAGATTGGGGCCAGCCTGACCCAAGCCCGGGCGGCATTCGACGAGACGTTGGAATGGCTACTGGCGAACTGTCGCAACGATGTTGACGCGGCCTTTGCGGGTTCTGTCCCGTTTTTGATGCTGGCGGGCAATTTGGCTGCCGGATGGAAGCTGGGCAAATCTGCGCTGGCCGCCCAAGCGGCGCGCGACGCTGGACAAAATACGCCATTCATGATCCAGAAGATTGCCACCGCCTTGTTCTTCGCCCAGCACATCTTGCCGGATTGCGGGGCCGAACACACCCGCATCTTGTATGGCTCTCGCAGCCTGCTAGGCGCGGAATTTATTGAATAATACCTCGAAAGGACCAGCCCTATGAACGACGTCGTAAACCCAGACACATATGAACGCCTGTCCATCTCCGAACGCGATAACGGCCTCTATGTCGTGACGCTGAACCGCCCGGGAAAGCGCAACGCGCTGGATGTCCTAACCATCGAGGAACTGATCCGCTTTTTCAGTGGCGCTCGGATGGCGGGGGTGCGCGCTGTGCTGTTGGCCGGTGAGGGCGATCATTTTTGCGCCGGTCTTGATCTGGTCGAACACTGGAAGGCTGACCGCAGCCCTGATGATTTCATGCAGGTTTGCCTGCGTTGGCATGAGGCGTTCAACAAGATGGAATATGGCGGTGTGCCAATCATTGCGGCGCTGCAAGGCGCGGTTGTTGGTGGTGGCCTCGAACTGGCAAGTGCAGCGCATGTTCGTGTGGCCGATCCCGGCACCTATTTCGCCCTGCCAGAAGGGCAACGCGGAATTTTCACAGGTGGCGGTGCAACGATCCGCGTTTCTGACATGATCGGTAAGTACCGCATGATCGATATGATCCTGACAGGCCGTGTGTATCAGGGGCAAGAGGCCGTTGATCTGGGTCTGGCCCAGTATATTACCGAAGAGGGTGGCAGTTTTGACAAGGCGATGGAACTGGCGGAAAAGGTGGCCCAGAACCTTCCGCTGACGAACTTTGCCATCTGTTCGGCTGTCAGCCACATGAATAATATGTCCGGCATGGATGCAGCCTACGCCGAGGCCTTTATCGGTGGCATTGTGAACACCCAGCCCGCCGCGCGTGAGCGTCTTGAGGCATTTGCAAACAAAACCGCCGCCCGCGTGCGGCCCAACACATAGGGCTGGGACAACAAAATGCGTCATCATTTCGAGGCTCTTCAAAAGGCACAGGCCAATCATGTGCCGTTGACGCCGATCTCCTTCCTACGCCGTGCTGAAAACCTTCACGGTGCACGCACAGCCGTGATATATGGCGATTTCCAGCGCAGCTGGTCCGAAACCGCTGCGCGTATTCGCGCGGTTGCTGGTGGTCTAGTCGGACTTGGTGTGCAAAAGAGTGATACGGTTTCAGTTCTTTGTCCAAACATCCCTGAGTTGTTCGAGTTGCATTTTGCCCTGCCTCTGACAGGTGCTGTGCTTAATACGCTCAACACACGGCTGGAACCTGGAACCATCGCCTACATTCTGGATCATGCGGACACCAAACTAGTGATCGTGGATCGCGAATTAGTCCCTCTGTTGTACAAGGCGTTCGATTTGTTGGGCCGGTCGCTGCCAGTCGTTGAGATAGTCGATCCGGCGGTCACAGGTAAGAGTCTCGGTGTGCAGACCTATGAGGATTTAACCCACGCCGCACCTCTACCACTCGATCTGCCCAATGATGAATGGGATCCGATTGCGTTGAACTATACGTCCGGCACCTCTGGGCGGCCAAAGGGTGTGGTATATCATCACCGTGGCGCGTACCTGATGGCGCTTGGCACAGGCACCGCATGGCAGGTGCCGCCATATCCGGTGTATCTTTCGGTGGTGCCGATGTTTCACTGCAACGGCTGGGGGCATCCTTGGCTGATGGCGATGCTTGGGGCGACGGTTGTGTTCACCCGCGTGCCCGAGGCTGTGCGTATTCTGGACGCGATTCGGACCCATGGCGTCACCCACTTCGGCGCTGCCCCTATCGTCTTGCAAATGCTGACAGAGGCGGAAAACGACAACCCCCCCCTTTGACCCAGCGATACGCATCCTGACGGCAGGTGCTCCACCGCCGCCATCGGTGCTGGAGAAAACCCGCGCCATGGGGCTGGACGTCATGCAGGTCTATGGCCTGACAGAGACTTACGGCCATATCTCTCAATGTCTCTGGCAGGACGATTGGGCCGGTCGTAGCTCCTCAGAACAAGCAGAACTACAGGCCCAACAAGGCATCGCCTTTCCCATGGTGGAAGGGGTCGCAGTTATCGACCGTTCCAGCGGTGAGACAGTCGCTCGCGATGGCACAACCCAAGGCGAGATAGCGGTCCGGGGCAACACGGTGATGGCAGGATATTACAAAGACACTGATGCCACTAAGGCCGCGTTCAAAGATGGCTGGTTCTGGTCCGGCGATGGCGCAGTTGTGCATGAAAACGGCTACATCCAGATCCGCGATCGATTGAAAGATGTGATCATTTCTGGTGGTGAGAATATCTCCTCCGTCGAAGTCGAAGCGGTGCTGTACCGTCACGAGGCCGTTCAGGCCGCCGCTGTTGTTGCCATGGCGCATGAAAAATGGGGTGAGGTGCCGTGCGCCTTTGTCGAATTGCGCGAGGGTTCTGTGGTAACTGCCGACGACATCATCGCCTTTTGCCGCGCACAACTGGCGGGCTTCAAAGCCCCCAAGGCCGTCATATTCGAAACCCTACCCAAAACCTCAACCGGTAAGATCCAGAAGTTTCAGCTTCGTGATCGCATCAAATCGATGGATTCCTAACATGTACCTGCTGTCCCAATCCCGCCGTCTGCGCGAAACACCCTTTTCTCAGGGTGTCGAAGATAAAGATGTCACGGCCTACACTATCTATAACCGGATGCTGCTGCCCACAGTTTTTGAAAGCGTTGAGGCTGATTACCGGCACCTCAAATCCCATGTGCAGGTTTGGGATGTGTCCTGCGAACGCCAGGTGGAACTGAAAGGCTCTGATGCCATGCGGCTGATGCAGCGACTGACCCCCCGCAACCTTGAAAAGATGCAAGATGATCAGTGCTATTACGTACCCATCGTGGATGATACGGCGGCATGTTGAACGACCCGGTGGCGATCAAGCACAGCGAAGATCGTTGGTGGATATCCATCGCCGACAGTGATCTGCTGCTCTGGGTCAAGGGGCTTGCCATCGGTGCGGGGCTTGATGTGCAAGGTGTTGAACCCGATGTTTCGCGTTGGCGGTTCAGGGGCCGAAATCGGCTGATCTGATGGCGAGGGTCTTTGGCGACGAATTGGCGCGCCATCCGCTTTTTCCGCTACAAACGATTGGCGTTTCAGGACATATCTTTTGTCGTGGCGCGGTCCGGTTATTCCAAACAAGGCGGCTATGAATCTATGTCGAAAACGGCGCATACGGGATGCCGCTTGGGATGCACTGTTCGACGCAGGCTCTGATTTGAACGTGCGCCCGGGCTGCCAATCTGATCGAGCGGATCGAGGGTGGGATGCTGGCTATGGCAACGACATGACGATGGAAAATACCCACTGGAATGCGGGTTGGGCCAAATTCTGCAATATCAGGCGAG